CCGCGGGGCCGGGCGGGTGGCGCCTCGGGGATACCGAGGAATGTTTTCCGGGGGGATATGTAGGTCCTGGAGCAGTTTGGGACACGGAGCGGTTTGGTTCTTTTGAGCCTGCCATCGTACAACTTTTCAACCCATACCATCTTTCTCTGGGTGTCTCCCCTCGGGAACAGATATAACCCTTGTGCTGCTGCCTCCTCTGCTGCTTTTCCTGTTGCTGTCTCCACTGCTAACTGTGGCTGTGACATGGAGGTACCAACAGTGGAGATAAAGCCTTAAGAAGTAAAACACCAACAAGTCTGAGCCTCCAATTGCAAAAGAAACGAACTTGGAGAGCTGACTAGCACATTATTATACCAGTTCATTTCCGGTTTTTAACAGCTCAGCTCAGTCTCCAGAGAGACTGAAAAAGAGTAGCTTCAAATAAAGCCTCATAAAAGCTTTGTTTTCCTTGTCCTCAAGCCTTTCCAGTCAGAGAAAGCTGTCTGCTTACCTTGGCATTTCTACCTATATTTGTTCTTAATTCAGTTCTCAACCTTCATAATTGTTGTCTTTAGGAGGAGCAGGGCAGCATTTGAGCCTCTGCACTTCCACCCCCGGCTACTTCTAGGTAGTTTTATACTTTTGTCTATTAGTACTTCAGGAGAGAAACCAGACTACAGACAAGAGCAGGCCGTAAAGCCTTGCCCTTTGCTACCACTCCAGAGTTAGAACTTTGCTCAGGCAGATCCGAAGATGCAATAGGCTTTTTGCCCAGGTAATATTCTGCAGTGGTGCAAGTGTTTTGTGCTCTTTCCAGTAGGCCAAAAACGGGAACTGCCAGATCTGTATTCTGTTCCACATGTGTAATATCTGAGGGCTGATTTCACTGTGATCCACTTCTGCAGTCTACAAAAAACTCTGGTACTCCAGTCCTGTTTTTAGCCACAATCTAAGCTTACAGGATCCACATCTATGTGACAAGGTTAACACAGGATGCACTGAGCACTATAAATCCAAGAGTTTTCCATACCTTTGTGATTAGGGGGGAAGATCAGAAAGGGGAAGGGGAAACTTCCCTGTTGCAGTAACATTTTTGGTTTCCCTAGAGCCTCCTCAGCTCCTAGTCTAGTTGAGTGAGCATGCACAAGGTTCCCTGTGCTGTGGGGGAGTGGTGTGATGGTGCCCACATTAACATGGCTGTTATCCTCTGCTTAGATTCCCCAAGTATTATGGATATCTCAATCACCTCAGAAACAGAAGAGAAAAAAACAAACGTTAATAATGTGCCAGACTACATCAGTGATATCCATGCATACCTCAGGGAAATGGAGGTGAGCTGCTGTCTCTCTTATCTGCACACAGCTTGTGGTGGTGGAGATTGGGCTTGAAAAGTGTATCTAAACATTAGTTACTGTTACAAACTCAACTTTCTCTGTCACCTACACCCACAGGTGAAATGCAAGCCTAAAGTAGGTTACATGAAGAAGCAACCTGACATCACGAACAACATGAGAGCTATTCTGGTGGACTGGCTGGTGGAAGTTGGAGAAGAATACAAGTTACAGAACGAAACCCTGCACTTAGCTGTAAATTACATTGATAGGTTTCTTTCTTCCATGTCTGTTTTGAGAGGAAAGCTGCAGCTTGTGGGTACAGCAGCCATGCTGTTGGCATCGTAAGTGCAAGTCCTTAATTTCGTATTTCACCTGCTCATCTCATACAGGGAGAAGTCTTGTGGCTATCACTGTTCTGTTGCCTGTAGACTGACTGACTCGGGAGGGCTTCACACTAGAGGAGAAATGGGGAGTTATCTACCTAAAACCTTGACAGTTACCTTTGTTGATTGCCCTAGAGTGATGATTCAGCATTTCCAGCTGCAGCAGCAAAAGGCTTCCAAAAGCAGTGTTTGAAGGAATATGCTTAAGGCATGGGAAAACAAAGTTTTGCTTGCACCAGTTACTAGTTTAGTGGGTCCTTCTGGAATTTTACTAATTCCAAGTCACGAATTTTTTAGCCTTAAAACATAATGCTGTTGTAGCTCTCTTAATTTCTAATTCTGCTGATTCAAGAACTACTGAACCAGGTGCAGCAAACTTGTTTGGTGCCAGTGCCCAGCTACTTCCCAGGTCAGAATGTGAATGACCGTGCTGAGTTTGTTAAATGTTGCTTGGTAATGGGTTTTCTAGGAATCAATTATTTACTCATAACTATTTCTCCTGGCAGAAAGTTTGAAGAAATCTACCCTCCTGAAGTAGCTGAGTTTGTCTACATCACAGATGACACCTACACCAAGAAGCAGGTTCTAAGGATGGAGCACTTGATTTTGAAGGTTTTATCGTTTGACTTGGCAGCTCCAACAATCAACCAGTTCCTCACCCAGTACTTCCTGTATCAGGAGACAGAGCCCAAAGTGGAGAGCCTGTCTATGGTGAGTGAGAATTACTGGCTTGGCCTGTGTAACTACAGAGTTCTATTGCAGATATTGCATATATCTACTGCATATGCACATATATATGGTATGAACTGTGCTTCTCCAGAAGTGGTGCCCCAGTGATGGAAACTAACACTCCTGTTGCCACTGACTCCATTCTTATCACAGGCAGGCACTTGGCCTGGCTCAAGCATGCACACTTACTCAGAGCAGGCAGAGATTAATGAACTTTTAATTGGGGGGTGTTTCACTGCTAGATAGATGTTCCCCTCTCTCTTATCTAAAACTGCCACACCTACCCACTCACTTTGGCTAAAAAGGACTTTTGTTTTGGTTTTCCCCACAACAAGCAGCAAACTAAATCCGGAGGCTGAATTATAGAGCAGAGCACAGATAACATTTCAGCTAAAGGGATAATACATCTTAACTGTATGGTAGGTACCAGAGCTCCTAAACAGAATCTTTAGTCTCACTGTGCAAAGGTCAGATCTGACTACGCTTTCCTCTAGATCTTACGTAGTTCTAAATAAGGAATGTGGTGCTGAAAAACCATGTGTTGGGAATGCTGTTTGAGAGTAGTTAAGCTAGAAGAGAAAATGGAAGCAAGTAAAAGCTGTTCTTCCAGCTGGGGGCAGGATTAGAAGAATAAATTAAGGTTCTAGTGCAACTGTTAAATGATCTTCTATTTCCTTTTCCCTTCTTGTTTTCCTTGCAGTACCTTGGGGAGCTGAGTCTAATCGATGCTGATCCTTACCTGAAATACTTGCCATCAGTTATTGCTGCTGCAGCGTTTCATCTAGCAAATTACACACTCACTGGACAAACTTGGGTATGTAGCACCCCAACATGAGCCTTTACATGCCTTCATGTGTGTTTGCTGTTTTTGTACACAGTTATGAATGCTGGGGCTGGGCTACAGGAATTGCAGCCCCTCCATGCTCCTAGGCTGTTAATTAGGGATTGCTCCCTGTGGTATCTGAAAAAATGGGATGAGGAGTACTATGGTTTCAATAGGAAGCTAAAAACTCCACCAGTAGTCATCAG